TTGTGCCTATTATATAAAGAACTATTAGTATTGATAAGTTAATGAGCACAACAAAGAATATAAGATTAAGAAACATTAAGAGTCAGTAAAAAAGAAGAAAACAACTGTGTCTCCTTCAAATATGAAAAGATGATCAATTTAACTCATAATAAGGGAAATATGCATTAAAAGAATACAAAGATGCTATTTTAACCTATTATAATCACAAATTCCAAGTTTTACAATCCCATCTTATTGGTATTGGTGTAGAGAAATCATCACTTTTCTAAATCACGGTGAGAAAAGGGGAAAACAGAAGGGGACCTAGTGATATCTACCCAAATTAAAGATTTATTGTTGAATTAGAATCTCACTTTTGGAAATTTTTCCCACTGATAGGCTTATATGTATGTTAATGTGTGTAGACAACCATTATTATATAATTGCATGCAATAGCAACACAACAGCAACAACAGAAACAAAAACACCAGAGTTAGTAAACATTAAAATATTCATCAAATATATCGATAGGGGATTGGTGACCCAGTGAAAATGGTGAAGTTGAACTTTCAAATTTTTTTCATAAACACAGTGAGTAGTGAGAAAGATTTTTCTTTCAATAATTTGCAATAATGATCACAACCTTTAACATGGATATACAAGTTTATGGAACACTTTCTGTAAATTACCATTTCATCACTACAATAGGCATGGAGATAGATATGTATGTACAAAGATGAAATAGTCCCAGTTTCTCCTTCTAAAGCATGTGCACTATACTAGGTGAGGTGGACATCTTAACTAGGATCCCACAAACATTTCCTGCTCATGCTGTTAGTAAGTATTTTAGATTTTGTGAGCCTTACTTTCTCTGACCAACTCTTTTTTTTTTTTGTGGTTTTATTTATTTTATTTTATTTTATTTTTATTATTTGTTTTAACTTGAGTAATATTTTTTTTTTACAAACATTTTATTGTCAAGTTGGTTTCCATATAACACCCAGTGCTCATCCTCACAAGTGCCCCTCTCGGTGCCCATCCCCCCCCCCCCCCCACATCCATCAGTCCTTAGTTTTTGTCAGCATTCAAGAGTCTCTCATGGTTTGCCTCTCCCTCTTTCTGGCCAACTCTTAATACTACCACTTTTGCTTGTAAACAGCCATATACAATACATATATTCATAAGTGTAGCTATATTTAAAACAAACACATTAGGGACACCTGGGTGGCTCAGTCAGTTAAGCCTCACTCTTGATCTCAACTCAGGTTGTGATCTCGCAGTTCGTGGGTTCAAGTCCCACCTCAGATTCTGTGTTGTGTGCGGAGCCTGTTTTGGATCCTGCCTCCTTCTCTCTGCCCCTCCCCCACTTGTGGTTTATCTCTCTAAACAAACAAACGAACTCAAAAGCGCATTAGTCATGGAAACTGAAATTTGAATTTTGTACAATTTCCATGTCACAAAAATTATTCACTTATTTGTTTGTTTATTTGAGAGGGAGGAGTGAGAGAGAGAGATGGAGAGAGAGAGAAAGAGAGAGAATGAGGGGCAGAGTGAATGAGAGAGAGAATCTTAAGCAGGCTCCGTGACATAGAGCTTGACCCAGTATTCAACCTCACAATGCTGAGGTTGTGACTTGTGCTGAAATCAAATGTCAGAAGCTGGACCGAGTGAGCCACTCAGGCACACCTCACAAAAATAATTTTTGAAGTTTTTTTTCCAAAAATTTAAAAATGAAAACAAACAACCAAAACTTGCTTAGTATGCAGGGTCTAACAAAGTATGCACTGGCTCAATTTGGCACACAGACTATCATATAACTTACCCATGATCTAAACCACAAATAAAACTTTATAGTTGAATTAGTAAAACAAATACCAAACAATATTTCCCAGTTTCACCTTAAAGAATAAAAGTACAGGAAATTAAAAGACTTTCCAATTGTAATACAGATAATAAGCAAAGAACCTGTAACTGAAATCTTTTACTAATTATTGATATCATGACGACACAGAATCTACTCCAATGACAGGTGTTTATGGATGGCATAAATTTTAGGATTTGTATGATATCTCATATAAGCTATATTCTCATTCATAAGGGGGTACAATCTGCAGTTTTCATGTAAACATCAAGTTTTTATATGCTTTTTATAAAGAAAAAACACTTTTGTTTTAAAACTATATTGATATTACTATATAAGTTGTTCTAGGAGAAAATGACTTACTTTCTAACCAGTGTGCTATATTTTTCTTACCCTAATCCTTCAATTATTTTTAAAATCTTTAAGTCTGTGAGATATATAAAGATCTTTAACAATTCCGGGGGATCAAATACATGAGATATATTCATGGTAGTTATGGTATCTGACCTTTCATTGCCATTACCATCAGAAAAAATATGGATTATTAATTATACATATATTATGTGTATGTATAATTACATGTATGTATTATGGTGTATATATATTATACATGTACACACACACACACACATATATATAAAGTTATATTATTTACCATTAGAAATAGTCTTTGGTCATGGTCTTAGCCACATATAAGCATCTCAGTACTGAGCAATAGATATTGACTACTGTCAACAAAATAAATGCCTTCATATTAATTCAATCATTGATTAATAAAATTATAGAAAATTATCATAAAAATATATCAGAAGTTGGTATATCAAAACACTTAGGAGTTTGAATCCTAATCAAATGTCCAATTAAAGTTGTTTTATAATGTAAAATATAACTGCAGTTATACAAAAGTATAATCAAGAGCTCAAGGATTATTTAAAATAAACTTATATAATACATCTATAAAAATACTATTTTAATACAAAAACTGCATTGCATGACTACTAATTATTTCTACTAACAAAACTCCTGTCATTTCTGTGGCAGAGAAGGTCTAAGTTCATAATTTCCATTTTTTGGAGGAGTTCCATTTTGTACTCTTAGTAATTGTAAGGATTCTATATTTTATTCCCAAGTGCTATGAAAATACATAGTTGGTTCCGTATAAATGTATTTGTAAATGTGAGATATAAATTCACTTCCTTAACAAATTAAAATGATGGGACAAATAACACTATTCTAACCACAGGTGGATTATTGAACTTTGCAGTCTTAAAAAAATCAGTTACATTTGTATTTTTGTAAGGACAAATGTAAGTATATGGAGACAGATGAGTGGAAAGATCTGTACAGTTAAGTTAGAATTTCTCATGAAGGAAGATTAGAATAGAATAGAAAGACCAAGTGAGGGGGTCAGGCCAGATAGGGCATTAGAGAACCACATCTTTGGGTATAACCATTTATATTTGTCCACCAATAATATAAAGAGTAGAATGGACACCAATTTCCACAGACCTTCCACAAGCTTGAATAGCTTCAACCTCTACCACCTCCTGATGGGTAACAAGCTCTCCACCATATGTTCACTGGCACCCAAGCCCAGAAAGAATGACTGAAATGGATCTACCTAACAAGGCTTCATCTTTTACTAAATGAGGTGATCCAAGAGGAAATGAAAGTCGTCTGATCTTTTCCTTTCCAGCAAATTTTGTTTTTCATGTTTTTCAGTTTGATCGACAACAAATATCCACCACAAAATATTTCTAATAATAAAAAATGTTTTCTTTTTAGGGTACTCCTAAAGGGGGGCATTTTTTTGTTTTTTTAATATTTTTCTTCTTCTCAAGGATAGTAAAGAAGCATAGAGAAGTATTCTGAAGTTCATAATAAAACTAAGTATTAAGTAATTACATATATATGTTGTATATATATATGTTTAAATTTAGAACATTTGTTTCCATTTACTTTGTGGAATACTTTGTAGAAATAAATAAATGATGAAGCTGAGTTGTTTCATCTCATTTTAATGTGCATATGAGAAAAGGATAGAACTATTTCAGATCTTTTCTTTTGTATCACTCCGACTCCTCAGCTCCTGCTGGCTGTGGAAATACAGCTGCACCCCAGTCCCTGTTGAACAAGGGGCGAAGCAGATGGTTTCGATCCTGCACTGCCTACACATTAGGGAAGCACTATGACTTGGATGCAGTAGTAATTTTTTTTTTTTAGTACTAACAGTGCTAAAGTGAAAATAAATAGTCAAACAGGGAGATGAAATTCACTGAGCCTGCAGTCATGGAGATTCTACTGCTGTGCTTACAGTCTTTCCAAGAGGTACTGAGTAAACCTCAGTGGCTGCTTCCAAGGATCAGTAATTCGTCAGAAGGTGTCTCTGCTTCTTACTCTATTCTCTACTCTGGAGCATGCATGACATGTGGGGAAGCTGTCCCCTCGTAGCGAACACACAATTTCCTAACGAGTTTGATTAAACATTAAATTGTCTTATATTTTCAAGAGAAAGGGAAGGTGGTCTAAAGTTATGATTATTTTATCAACTTCAGTCTTTTGGAGTTTTAACAAAACCTGTACATCCTGTTTATATTTAATCTATATTTAAAACATAGCAGCATTTTTATGAGAATTAATTTGGGGAACTGAAAACAAACAAACAAACAAACAAACCCTGTGCTTTCAAAAGATGATTTAGATTCAAATACAGTCTCTGTAACAATTAACAAAAATATATCAGATGCCATGAGATGGTGGGCTCTTTTTGCTTCATGTGCATAGCAAGAGATTGAAAAATGTAAATTATCAATGTACCAGTAAATGCTTTGTGAATTATAACATACCTTCATGATAATAAAGACAAAATTACTCAACTGTGTGTTCAATTAAGGATTTCTATTTTATACAAAATAATGTAAAGAGTCATATACTGGTGAAGAATATTCAGTCCAACATGTATGGACCAATGTTTAGGGAGATGTGACATGACTAGTACATTTCATTGTTTTCAATAATTATTTTGAACCATCCTATATCAGTAGTAATATTCTATAGCATGTTTCCCTCTACTTTCTACATCTTTTCAAATCCAACCCAACTCCACCGTCATCTTATCTCATAATGTCTTTGAATAGGAAACAAACAAACAAAAACTTACTTTTCCAACATATTGTGGATCTGGTCCCATATGTTCTTCTAAAACAAAGAACTGATTCCAAACCCATCCCCTTTTGGGACGATGGTGGACTTCGGTTTCACCTTCAATGTGTTTGGTCTGGTTTCTGGTCACCTTGATGGAGCTGTGGTGAGCAGTTCCATAACACCTCTGCACAAAACAGAGACACACTAGGACTGGACAGATACAAGATGTGCTCGTAACTTTCATTGTAAGATCGCTTTCCAGTTCACAGTCTTCTTTCTTTTCCTTGTCAGTTATAAATGCTTAGTGCGCATTCAAGAGAGAAGCCAAAGCATCTTTTGGAAGGACAGTCCAAAGTAAATTGTTTAGCGTGTCCATGATTTAACTGCCCATCAGGGAAAGGTCAGACTATATTTACATCCTGAAACACTTGGAGAATCAAAGCTGAAGTTGCCTGATTCCAAATCTTCACAGTAAGTGAGCACAGGCAACCATCTTCTACCTAATGGATAGAGAGAAAATTATATGTATTACAAAACATGGCAGCTTTAAGTATTTTCTCTGAATGCAAATTAAACTATTTTGTAGTTTAATGCTGTATGATGCTGATGTTCAAAGAATATATACAAATTCTTCTGGCACTACACACCAACAGGCATACACACAGTTATGTGTAAGCTTCTATACTGCATACATTTTTTTACACGGACCTTCTTATTTGTACTGTTAATTCTCAATATTTAAAAACAAATTAATATATACTATATGTATTTATTTGTAAATATATCTATTTTATATTAAAATAACAAACATTTGAATATTTGGGCATACATATATGCATATTTTTTATATTTATATATTTATATGTGTATTGAATCCTTTGAAACAACAGAAATGCAGTCCTAGGTAGTGAAGAAATGCTCAGAAACTGACCATAAGTATTTGCACATGTCCAATCCAATCTTTTACAACGTATTACCTGTTAGGCATTCCATACTACATGCAAATTTTGTTTGTTTTTGTGTTCATTTTGTTTTTGTTAAGTGTGACACAAAATCACAACACATAGATGGATTACCTGCTCCATGTGACTCACTGAACTTTACCAAAATACTCAGAATACTTTAGAATTAAAAAGTGTCATGGATCATTAAAGCGATCAGGTAGGTTCATTAAAGCAATCAAGTAGGTATGTACTTGAATTGCTTAGTTAGCACAATAGACAAAAATAGAGCAGGAAAGAAGGCTGGAAAAAAATATATGCAATTTAAAATCAGTCCATACATGGGGATCAGACTGACACAGCTGAATAAGAGTGAGAGAGCATCATTTGGCTGAATCATAGTTTCCTTGGATTTTAATTGTCCTGCAGATAATACTCTAGGGTGTGGTCGTTACATATAGGCAAGACAGATTTCAGGCTTGGGGATGACATTACTCACAACTCTAGCAGCTATGTAAAGAAAGGTGAAAGGAACAAAAGAATGATAGCAAAAAGAACAGGGAAAAATGCTTTGATTCTCAAATAAGAAATGTTGAGTACATGACCTTAGATTTTAGTACTTTGGGGGCAATAAAGCAAAACCTATAAAACATTTCCAGAAGAGAAAAGGTAGGATTCGGGAGAAACAAAGAAATTGACTCTGAAATTACTACTTTACAAAAACCATGAAATTGTGGAGCAAGTTTTGCTGTATTTTTATATGTATGTTTCAATATGTATTTGAGAGAAAGAATGAATTCAATATTATGGTTGTTCGATCAGAAATATATTAGATGAGTAACTTTCTCATTTCATAAAGCTGACCCCTGTATACCAACACAAACTGAAAGGTAGATGTGAATGAATTATAAGGTAGACGACTTGTCAATATAAAGATTTAAAAAATTGGGTATAAATAATTAGCCATAGCATAATTGCTTCACACAACTGAAGAAAATGTTAATATCAAGTAAGGAATGTAAAAAATCTCACATGAGATTCAGAATACAGTACCCTTCTCTATCAATATATCTTCCCATACATTTGGGTTAATGATAGTGCTTATTTACCAGTTGTTCACGAATTGTACAGGATTGGGACTAAGATTTCATTTTAATTACCTAGTGAATATAACTTAAATTTGGTAATATTTTATGAAAGCAAAGGTGAATTTTTCACTGATTTAAATTAAAATGACTCAAGAACTCTAACAGTTTAATACCATTGTAGCTCCAACATGGTAAGAACATGGGAAAGAAAGTTAAAAAAAAAAAAAAAAAGATTTTTCTTTCTTTTTTCCCCAACAACGTATTTATAGTACAAACATATAATTCAGATAATTTGTCCAAGTCACCATCATCTCATTTAACTAAAATTTGTGGCTTTGAATAATCGATTTTAGTTCTTTCCAGTCTAATAAATAATTAATGACTTAATTTCCAAGTCACAGATTTCAGAAAAGAAACTTTAGTCTTCTTAGAAGTCAAATTGATGAATATATAGAAGGTGTTATCTTAATAATTTCACACCATTTGGTGTGATTTCTAAATGAAATTAGCATCTTTTTATGCTAAGTTGTTTAACAAAGCATAATTCATGAGTGAAGGTGAAGAAAGTGGCTTTTGTAATGCATTATAGATATGTAGAATGAGTGTGTTCTTTATAATATGATCTAGTCTGGCATTAAAAATATATAAATGTATTTTAATCTATATATGTATCTGTAGAATCTTCACTATGATAATTATAAATTGATAAATAAAGCTCTGTGGAGTGAAAGAACAAATGTAAACATTACTATTATTCATTTGCAAGTATTCTCATTTCCTATGAGAAGACAGAACTCCAAGTATAAAAATCTGCTCTACTTCAAGAAATCCATCCCTGCATAGGCTAGAAAGAATTATAACACAAATAATAATAAAACATTGATTGAGACTAACACAGTAGAAATATGTTGCAAACATCTGCCATTTTTTAAGTAGGATTCAAATACCTTACCTACTCTCATGGAAGACTCCAGTATATGAATTCTGATAGAGACTTTTCACCTCTAAACACATAGGGACCTAATACTTTCTTCTTACAACCTTTTAGTTAAAATTTATACCAATGACACAGACATGTTAATTATATGTCCAAATGTCCTGCAACAAATGATGGATGAATGCAGAGACACTTGAAAAATGTTCACAGTGTTAGTGAGGTTCTCAAGGTCCAAATATAGTGGATGTGAGTCCAGAAGCCTTGTGGGAGAGTCCAGTGGCATGAATTTAAGAGTTATTTTATTTTAGCTAATCCATTTCAGTGATGAGTACTTGACATTGTTTCTTACTGTCTTACTTCTTTTGGATCCCACTTCCCAAACCAGATTCTTCAGCCCTCACCAGTTTTGATGGTTGAACAATACTTTTCCCAATACATTTATTTGCTGCTTTCCGTGACCAAAGTTGCCATCTGTTATTTGAAAACAAGAACTTTCTCTGATATAAAGCATTACTGTCACTCCAACAAACACTTTCCAAAGAATGCAGTAAATGCAATAATGTTTAATGTAGACCTCTCTCTGCTGTTCTGTGAGCTAAGTGAGAACAACACTGCTTCCGGAGTGTGGCCCCTTGCTTTGGTAATTACTCCCTCTTCCACAGTGGAGTTAATAACGGTGTGCTATGAGTCAAGAGACATGACCTCAAATGCTCACCTTGTAGAACACTGTCACATTTTGTAAGCATTTTTTTACTCTGAGCCTCACAGTTTTCATTTATGAATATTCTTAATGAATTCTCTTTGAGCATGTTCAGCTATATAATTATTTGAATTTATGATTTAATAACTATGTATTATTTACAAATTACTTTTCTTATTTACACTGATTTACTCATTTCACCCAAGGGTAAATAGCCATTTATAGCTCTTCAATGCATTCCTTCATTCCTGAAGGTAAGCATTCATTCAGAGAGCTCTGAGGAAACATAATTCTCAGAGAAATGGATTCTCACATTTATCCCAAATGTTAATGCTTGTAACTCGTGTCCTTGACTGAATATTTTTTTTTTTTTTACCATTGGTTCTTAACTTATAAACCTTGAACTCTAAAGAGGTCTAGAGAATGCCTTCTGTTTCCTTTCTTCTAAAAAGTAAAACTTTCTTTGTCCTTTTATTTTGAAAATGTCTTTGCAAAAACATACTAGACATTATTTCATGTATTCATCTTTCTAGTTTCCGTATGCGAGGTGTGACATGAAATATTTTATATATTCAAAAAAACCTAGATTTATAATTGTCACCAGGTTCTGAACTCTGACATTATATATAACTTGGTAGGAATTTATCTGACTTTGCATAGAGCAAGGCAAGCTTAAAAAGAAGCTGTCAAAGAAGATAAAGTACAATGGAAAGTCCATATTTTTTGGAATTACTTTCATGTGAGATATATAAAGACATCTTGCCTGGTGAAGTAAGTACATAGCAATGGGAACATGATGCTCAATACACATAAGATGGGCTTCCCAAGTATCAAACCTATAAACCCTTCAGATGAGAAAATTGTTCTTTGTGTCATCTTGGAAATAATGTAACTTAATATTTCCATGATGACTGATTGATTGATTCTAAAATGTATTTATTTTGAGAGAGAGAGAGAGAAAGAGAGAGAGGGAAAGGCAGAGGTGGGAAGGAAGGGAGAGAAAATCCCAAGCAGGCTCTGAACTGTCAGCATTGGAGCCCAACACTGGGCTGGATCCCACAAATCCTGAGAACATGACCTAAGCCAAAATCAAGAGTCCAAAGCCTAACCCACTGAGACACCCAGGAGCCCCAAGATTCATCATTCAAAGCTATCATACTATCAGGCAGATTTAAATTTAAGGGAATTCATATTATGTTTGATTTTCAGAGTTACTTATAAAAGGTGAAAGTTACAAATACTGAACAAGGGCCATTTTTCAAGAGTAATAAATATTTAATACTTATCAGTCTTTGTTTCTGTGTGCGTGCATGCGTGTGTGTGTGTGTGTGTGTGTGTGTGTATGTGTGTGTATTTAGCTTTAGGATGTTCTAAAATCTCAAGATAATCCTGTGGGTTGGTGATTACAGGCATAACTCCCATTGCTGGCAAGATGCATTCTCGGGTATCATGTATGATACTGCAGCTATGGTTTCCATCATTGTTGGATCCAATGATCAAAAATATTGGTACCATTCTCTCATTCTGGGTCTTGTTCAATTTCTAAAGACACTGACTTCTGAGTTTTTGCTTTACCTTCCTGCCTTTCACTCTCCATTGTTTCTATTTTCCATTAGTTTTTGTTTTTGTTTTCCTCTCTCTCTTTCTCTCTCAATTAGTAATTCATCTATTTAGGACTGTTACTCTTCTCAAACATTGTCTATGATTACTCTTGCTTACAGCCAAAATGCAAATACTCATAAACCACATACAATTGTGCAGGGCTTTACCTTTGTTTCAAGTTTTATCTCTAGATTGATTCCCAAATCAATATTTTCAATGTCAATCTGACTCA